GAACATGCTCAGGGGGGAACATGGTAAGCAAGTGCCAAGAGGCCTGAAGCAGGCTGCATCCAACTGCCTTTCAACCTACCTATGCCCAGCTCATTGCTTTTCTCAACCTCTCTTTTCCATGTTGTCTTTTATTCTGCAGCTTAGGTATATCACCCCTAAATCTCTGGGCATCTTTTTTTGATGTGAGGGCTGCTCTGTCTGCTGCATTTGACCCTGGTGACAGTCTTGGTGATGCCAGGCTTACCTGAGCTAGAGCAGGGAGCAAGTAGGGTAGGTTGAAGATCTTGACAAGTCTGGGACAGGGGAGAAATTGTAAGACTAGCTTTGAGGATGGCTTTGTGATTCAGAAAAAGCAGAGCTGACAGAGCACAGCACCTTTTGGACCCTTCGGCTGAGGCAGTGTGTGTGTGTGTGTGTGTGCGCGTGCACGTGCGCTGATGATAACTTTTAGGCATTGTTGTCATCTGGTCATGGTTTGCATTTATAGGACTCATCGTTTCCCCCAACAATGGGTGCTTGTGCTGTGCTTCACTGAGGATTGAGCCTTTGGTGGTCTAGGAATTGTACTTTGAAGAAGTGGGAGCTGGAGTTGCAGCAGGCCACTGTTTCGGGACACCAGCAACCCACATCAGATTTCTTGGGTTCAAGTCCCAGCTCCACTTGCGATTCCAGCTTCCTGCTAAAGCATACCCTTGGAGATGACAAATGATGGCCCAAGTACTAGTTAGTGTCCCTCCCATTCACTTGGGAGACCTGGACGGAATCCCTTGATCTTGGCTTCAGCTTGGTCCAGTCCTGATGTGGGCATCTAGTGGGATTGGTAGGGATGAACTAGTGGATAAAAGATCTCTTTCTCTTTTAAGTAAAAAAAGAGAAAAGCAGGGCCTGGCACAGTAGCATACTGGTTAAACTTATCACTTTGTAAGCACCAGGATCCCACATGGGTGCTGACTACTGTCCTAGCAGCCCCACTTCCCATCCAGCTCCCTGTTTGTGGCCTGGGAAGGCAGTCAAGGAAGGCCCAAGGCCTTGGGACCCTGCACCCATGTGGGAGACCCAGAAGCTCCTGGCTTCTGATCAGCTCAGCTCCGGCTGTTGCAACCACTTGGGGAGTGAATCATTGGACAGAAAAGTTTCCTCTCTGTCTTTCCTCCTCTCTTTATATCTGACTTTACAATAAAAAGAGAGAGAGAGAGAGAGAGAGAGAGAGAGAGAGAGAGAGAAGCAGCTGACCCAATGACCCACAACAGCTTTCTCAGCCATACTGGCTATGACCTTGGGAAGGCCCATGCCATTCTTTCCCCCGGCTGGGTTGGCCACTGGAATACATGGGAGCCAGTTTGTGCTCTCAGAGATAGATACAATGTACATTTGGTCCTTGAACATGGTAGGGACTCAAGGGAAGGGTAGTCCTACTGCAGGATACTAGCTCCTGCCCCTGCCTGTCCAGCATAGGTTTGGCATCTTCATCCCTGGACCATCGCTGAGGAGTTGGGAGTGGGAGCCAAAGCTGGCCTTTCAATAATTTCTCTTCTGAGTGGGAAATGTGGAGTAGTCCTTAGGGCTAGTTATGTTTACTTGTCCTCCCAGTGTCTGCTGAGAACTGTGACCTGCTTAGCTGAGGGCAGAGAGACTGGAAGACAGCAGCTCAGTGCCCTAGGAGTGCAGTGTTAGGTTTGGGTGCCACAAAGGTTGGATGAGAGTGGTGCAGCTATCTGTGATATATCACAGCCCGCTGATCCCTTTTCAAAGCACTGTATCTGGTGTTTCTCAAAAAAATCTCTATGTAGGCAACTGGTCCCATGTATGCCTGCTGCACTAGGAGTCAGTTCACAAAAGCTTCGGTTGTGTGGCTTCATGTTCCCTTTGTGTTCAGTAGGGATAATCATCTCCACCTCATGGGCCATGGTGCATCCCGCAGGTGTTCTGGAGTTGGGATGCCTTGCCTCCTTCAGCTCCTCATCTCAGTTGGACACTCTGGGGAGACTGCACTTGCATGTACCCTTTGAAATCTTCTGACTTAGGACGTGACTGGTCTACAGTTTTTGCCTCATTCTTCCCACTGACCATAGGAATGGGGGAGCGTGCTGGGGACAAGTGTAACTGTGTGTGTGGTGGAGGCAGTGTAGCACTGTAGCCGCAGTCAGCCCACCCCTCAGAGTGTTGGCAGGCACTGTAGTTGGAGGGTGAATCCTGGTGAGTGTTACCTCAACAGGACCTGCCTCTCAGTTCTGCTTACTTGGGATTATTTTTTTAAACTGAATGTTAGATTTGATTAAATTCTCAGGTCCCTGTAAGTGCCAGCAAGAGCCTCCCCCTTTCTTCCCTACTTCACAGCAGTTATTCAAGGAGATAAGGCAGGTTTTGGAAAGATGTTTAAAGATGTCATGTCCTGGCTAATAAGGAAGCCTCTCATAAGATAGGCAAGCAAGGAACTCTTCTGGTGACAGGGCCAGGGGTGAATGGCTCAAAGAGAGGAAACCAGGAGTCCCTGAGAACAGTCTGCAACCCCCCTCTCCAGCCACCCTATCCTGCCCTGCCTGCTGGGAGGTCAGAGCTGTGGGAGTGGCAGGGATTAAAGTTCCAGGTTCCTCCCCCTTCTCTCTATTGATTTACCTTGACGCTAATTTAGGCCTGTGACCAGTCAGGGGCCTGCCAGAGGCCTCCTTAAGAGGGGACTGTGCCTGTGCTGGCGCCCTTCACCTGGTCCCCACCCCTCAAAAGTCTGGAGAGCCCAATTGCCCGCTCGAATGATTTCCAAGTGGCTATTATGTTTCCAACCCAGGTAATTGGCTTTACCAGTTATTAATGGATTACTCTAAGGAAAAAATGTCGATGGAGGTAAGGGCTACACTTCCTAACTTTGTAGTTTGGCTCTTCAGCGTCCTGTAGCTGGGCTATGGCAGGAGTGACTGTTGAGTGGCTCCTAGTCACGTACTGGGCCTGGGCATGTCCTTGGAAGAAGTCTTGGATTGAGACTGGAGAGCTGCAGAGTTGCTCCTATGACCTGGTGGGCACCTGGGGCTGAAAAGTGGGCCACTGGCTGTGCCCACCCAAACAGCCCTCCTGTCAGCAGCTGGCTTCCTCCAAGCCCTTCCTGTTGAAATCCAGTTCCTGTGGACACTCTTGGGAGCAAAGAGGCCAAAGTGCTGGACGGGGTGGCCCAGCAGCAATCCCCCTTTAGCCAATCATCAGTCTGCCCTGTCTTCTCAGAATTTGAAGTCATTCCAGCCCTGCCCAGGGTCCTGACATACTGCTTTCAGCTCTCTTCCCCTTCTCACCTCTGCCAAATCCTTGGACCACGTGGTCTGGCTCCCAGGACCAAGTTCTAGTCCTAGCACAGCAGCTGGCCTGGTACAGGGCACAGATCCTTCACACTGGGCTTGTGCCTCCACCTAAAAAGAACCCATGTAGATGGTGTACATTGACCTTTTCCAGTGTGTAAAAGGCACTCTGGGGAATGTGTTTGTGCCACCCTCCCCTGTTCTTGGCAGCATTTGTCATTGTCCTTAGAGGCCTCTGATCTCCATTCACAACTAGGATCCCTGGCTGCCCGGTCCCCATGGTCCTCCTCTCCCTCCCCAAACATTAGCATATACCCCTCTGCAGAAAAATTTTTTTAAAAGATTTATTTATTTTTATTTCAAAGTCAGATACACAGGAGGAGAGATAGAGAGGAAGATCTTCCGTCTGCTGATTCACGCTGTAAGCAGCCACAACGGCTGGAGCTGAGCTGATCTGAAGCCAGAAGCCAGGCATTGCTTCTGAGTCTCCCACGTGGGTGCAGGGTCCCAAAGCATTGGGCTGTCCTTGTCTGCTTTCCCAGGCCACAAACAGGGAGCTGGATGGGAAGTGGAGCTGCCAGGATTAGAACTGGCAGCCATATAGGATCCTGGCACATTCAAGGTGAGGACTTTAGCCACTAGGCCACCGTGCTGGGCCCCCTCTGCTGAATTTATTCATTTGTTCTACTTTCCTTTTATCATCTTGGTACTTTTATGCCTGGCTTGGCTCACACCATGTTACCAGACTCTTCTAACTCTTTAAATCTTCACAAGGGCAGGAGATTGGCATAGTGGGTTAAGATGTTGCTTGGGATGCCTGCATTCAACTTCAGAGACCCAGCTCCGCTTCCAGTCCAGCAACTAGCTTGTGCACACTTTGTGAGGTAGTAGGTAATGGCTCAAGCACTTGAGTCTTGATGATTCACCATGGACACCTGAATTGAGTTCAGGCTCCTAGCTTTGGTCTAGGCCAGTCCCATTGTTTCGGAAAGTGAAATGGTGAAAGGAAAATCTCCCTCTTCCAAATAAAAATAAATAGATAATAAGCAAACCTTTATTTATTTTTAAAGATTTATTTATTTATTTGAAAAAGGAGAACAGAGATCTTCCAACTGCTGGTTCATTCTCCCAGATAGAGGCAAAGGCCAGAGCTGAACCCAATTGAAGCTGGGAGCCAGGGACTCCATCTGGGTCTCCCATGTGGGTACAGGGCCCCAAACACTAGGGCATTCATGCTCTGCTACTTTCCCAGGCTAATAGCATGGAACTGGATTAGAAGTATAGCAGCCAGGACATGAACTGTCATTCACATGGGATGCCCATGTCACAGGCCTTTACTAAGCCACAATGCTGGCCCAATAAACAAATTAAAAAATTCCTCTGGGGAATGCCCCCAGCCACCTCAGCCTGTGATCAGGGTATCCCTCTCTAGCTGCCTGGGGCTTTTTATGGCCACTCCAGAACTCCCAAGTTGCTCAATTAGAAAGCCATCTTCCTGGTGGGCCCACCCGGCATCCTTGGGCTGAGCTGCAGGTACCTTGTGGGTCCTCTGGGGCCACAGCCCTCACTGTGCCAATGACCTGGGCTGCTTCTCCTGCTGCTGCCTTGGCCCTAGCAGTTCCCAGCCTTGGAGATGGGGAGCACCTTGTCAGCTGAGGAACTGTGCACACAGGCTCCGACATGCCAGATCTCACTCTACTCTCCTTTGTTTGGCAGCTCCTTTGTGACTGGGACAGCTTGTTGTGGGCACTTCTCACCTCTGAGAATCTGGGACCTCAACAGGTAAGAGATTCCTGAGTCCACCAGGGCTTCCAGGGTATTGGGGGGAGGGGGAAAGGAATGGTTCTGGAGGCAACCCTGCACTTGGTGATCTAGCTCCCTAATGCACCTGGGAGACACCAGAGGATGGTCAAAGCTTTTGGGTTCCTGGCAGCCATGTGGGAGACCCAGAGGGAGGTCCAGGGTTCTGGCTTTAGCCCAGCTGTTGTGGACATTTTGGGGGGTGAGCAAGCAGATGGACAGTCTCTGTCACTCTGCCTTTCAAATAAATAAATCTTAAGTTAGGTGCTCATGCAGTGTATTTCATAATACACTAAAATACCAAACCTAGGAAATTGACATTGGTACACCCACAACATGTGAGCATTTTACCATATATATAGTCTTAGGACTATCTGCTGCCTTAGCATAGAGGTCTCGCACAGGCCCTCTCATTCACAGAGCCATCCACCTCCCCTCCTTGTTCTTCACACCTGGCAACCACCTGTGTTCTTCATCTCAATAAGTTTGTCATTTTGAAATGTTATATAAATGGAATTGTCACCTTTGAGATTGAATTTTTAAGCCTACAGAGACTGTTGTATGTGTTAATAGCTTATCCATTTATTGCCAAGTAGTATGCTATGGATTACCACCCAAGGACACTCACTCACTGAATGACTACTACAAATAAAGGTGTTAGAAAATTTGTGCAGATCTTGGTGTAGGCATACATTTTAATTTCTCTGGGATAGACACCAAGGAGCATAACTGCTGGGTAGCTTGGTAAGTGTGTACTTAGTCTTTTACCTGCCAAACCACTTTAAGTATCTTTACAATTTTATACTGCCACCTGCAATGCATGAGAGATCTAGCTTGACATCTACACCAGTATTTGATAGTCACTATTTACATGTATCTGTTCTAATACATGTGATACATTTCATCATGGTTTTAATCTGCATTTCCCTAATAACTAATGGCCCCTAATGCCCACAATGACCAGGGCCAGGCCAGGCTAAAGCCTGGACCCCACCCCAGATCTCCCATCTGAGTGGCAAGGACCCAACCACCTGAGCCATCACTGGATGGCTGAAATCAGGAGTGGGCTGGCAGTCGTGACATAGGTGCCAGAGCAGTGTTCCACCCACCAGGCCAACACTCGTCCTGTTTGTGTTGATTCCCTGCTGAATTTAGACCTTTGTCAGATAGGTGGCTTGCAGTGGTCTCCCCGTCTGTAGCTTATCTTTATCCTCCTAATGATGTCTCCGCAAAGCAAAAATTTTAAATTTAGATGCAGCCTAGATGTTTCCTTTTGTCAGTTGTGCTTTTGGTGTGAAATCCAAATACTCAGCATAGCCCAGGCCCCACAGTATGCGTTTTAAAAGCCACTGTGTAAAGTAGCATTGAAGGTGGGCTCCCTTGCCTGCCTCCTTCCTCACTCTCACTCTGGCTTTTCATTTTCTCTCATTTCCTTAGAAAAGTGTTAGCTATATCTTCAGTCTGAAAAATCCATCAACAGTTTTTCTAAAAGATTTCTTTGTAAAAAGTGATTTAAAAATTGTTTTTAAGCTGAGAAACAAAAGAGCTTGAGAAAGCTCTTATCTGTTCATTCACTACCCACATTCTCACACTGCCATGGCTGGACTAGGCCCAAGCTGGGGGCTAGGAACTCAATCTGGGTCTCCCACATGGGTGGCAGGGACCCACGTACTTGAGCCTACTGTGTCCCAAGGTGTGCATTAATTGGCAAGAAGCTGCAGTCAAGCCATCTAGGCATTCCCATGGGTTGTGGGTATCTGACCTGATGTTTTAATCACTGGGCTTAATGCCCATAACATAAGAGATTTCATTTTTTAAAATACAGGCTTTTCAAAGCAATTAGTTGCTTTTCTCATAATTAAAATGATCAGAGTAAGATTTACTTTCTGTCATATTGAGGTAATACTTAGCTGCTGCTGAAATTCATTTGGTGAAACCAATTAATTTGAAAAGGGTTGAGCTATTTTTGAGATGATACACAGAGGAGCTGTAGCTGATCCAAATGGTAAAAAAAAAAAAAAAAGTGTGTCTTTCTTTTTTGATAAATATTACTTCGGAAGCACATGATCTGTAAGTACATGTATGGGCATGTAGGACTTTTACAGGCCCAGTGCCTGGATGTCAGCTCTGCCTCATGGTGCAGCAAGCAATCCCAGAATGTGCATGCCATAGCTGCGAGATCCTTCACACAGCTGCTACTGGGCTAGGCATATCTTAAAAAACAGCTCTGAATGCTTCTCCAGCACTCCTTGAACTGCTCCTATTAAGAAAGTGTCCTGCATTCATTTCCAAAGCTCTTCTTATGTAACAATTTTGTCACTGTGCTAAGTCTCCCTTGCATCAGTGACACACTTCAACTTCTAGCGAGAAACTGTCATAGATTTGCAAGTTTGTGAGTGTGCATGTCTAGAAAACCTTAGCATGCTGCAGGCACATAAATCTTGACCTGCACCACAGTTTTTGTTTTTCTTTTTTTTTTTTTTTTTGCACTAACAGTTGGGGCTGCTGTGTGTTTTAGAAATAGTCGGTGACCAAAGTCAATCAAGAGAGAAATGTAGTCAGTTGTTTGTTGTGGAGGATGTCCTCAGATTAGAGGACAGAGACAGTCCTGAGGCTGGCCCTTCATGTTATATTGAGCCTCAGAAGCACAGCTCTGGTCCTAATGTGGACACTGAGGCTGAGCAGCAGAGTGGTTAGCTCCCTTGCCTGCCTGCAACCCACATGGCAAATCAGGTGGCTGAGGGCTTGTGTGAGGGCAAGGGAGGGAGTGCAGTGAAGTTACCCTGGATGTGGCAGAGGGGACAAATGCCAGGACACAGAGATGAATGTCAACTTCAAGGAGAGTGACGCTAGCTAATTGTGCAAAATTTATTCTGATAGGCAAAGCACTGTTGTGAAAAACCAGCACATCTTCATGCCAAATGTGGTTCTGCTAAACAGCTCTCTGCTGACGGTCATGCAGGAACAGGGTTGTTCTCCCACATGCAAGCACAGAATTGCTTTGTGGTGCTGTGATCCTGGACAGCAGGCAAGCTGACTGCAGGACTGAGCCCTTTGGTTCTGCTGCCTGCCATTTACTCTTTCCCAGGCTGAAAGCTGGGAGTCTCTCATGTCCTCAAGAAGCAGATCAGTTATTCACCGCTTCCAGCTATGAATCACATAGCCTCAGTAGAAAAGGCAGAAACAGTACTGGGACTCTGTGATCCTGGACGATCGGGGGCCCTGCAGGTGGGTGTGTCCCCAGGTAATGGGTCCAGGGGCTCAGGCAGCCCATGAGGGCCTGCGTGTGCTTGATGCTCTGCTCATCCTCCTTGCCATGCTGGCTTTGTTTCTGCCCTCAAGCAGATTGAAAGCAGCTCCACCAGCTTGGATGAGAAGAATGTAGAGGGCCTCGCCCCTCCACAGCCTTCCCCTCCCATGGGGGTGAACATCTGAAGCCAAACCCTGGCAGGTCAGCAGAACAGGAAACAGCAGTGTGTCAGCAAGAAAGCCCACGAGAGATGGTGGCCCAGGGGCCCAGGCTGTGGGCTTGACTGGTTCCAGAGGCAGCCTTTCTAGAGGGTTCTGTGGTTTATCTACCTTTCTCCTTTTTGAGCAGAGCACTTACATAAGGACTGCAGGACTGAGCCCTTTGGTTCTGAAAGGACAGTATGGGCCGAGCAGTGGCAGGTGCTCCTGCCTCCTGTGTCTTGGGTTCCCTCCTTTGGCTAGAAGGAGGTGGTAGCTGGTGATCACTTTGTCACTGGTACTAGCCTCATTCTGGAGTGCCTGGAATGGAGCAGTTCCAAGGCCATGAGCTTGGGCTCAGAAGAGCATACCTTGTTCATTGCAGCCTCTGCCCTTCTTCTCATGGGGCCTAGTAGGGACGAAGCCCATGAAGGGTCAGGCTCACTGGTGGCAGAACTGCTATGCCAGGAGTGTGTGTCCACACCTGTGAGGTGGGAATTCACTATCTCTGCCTCAGAACTAGTGCGAAACACTGAAAGAGAACAATGTGCCTGTCACCTTGGGAACATTCAGTCAGGGCTAGCTAGCTACTTTTCTCTCCTTTTTGCCACACCTCACCTCCCCCAGCAGCTGCTTCCCATGCAGGTACCCCAGGTTTGTGGAAATGCAGCTTTTAATCTGTGAAACATCTGTGGCCTCATGGGAGGAGCCTCTCTGATGGTGGCACAGGGAGGGCTCTGGAAGCCAGGGTTGCTGGCTACAGACAGGCATTGCCCTAACAGTAAATTCAGTTGTCAGCTGGGGCTTGCCCTTAGCCCTGTCTGCTATGGGGCATGATCTCACTGCATCTCCACAGCCTTTTCTGTAAGTGGCTGCCTCAGCTGGGGATACTCCAATCTTAGCTGCAGACCCGGATGGAATTTGAAGGTAATGATTCTTTGGATGTTTTAAAGAAACCCTTAGACCTCATTATCCCAAGCTGTCTTTCCTGCACCCAGAATGTGCCCCCAGTAGCTTCAGCCTCTGCTCTCATGGGGCCCCCTGCCTCCTCTGCTGGCCTGTCAGTCACGTGGTACCTGCCTCCCCCACCCGCACCGTCAACACACCCCAGGAGTATTGTCCCCAGAGGATCTTGGGAACCAGGGTCCTGGTGGAGGTGGCTGCTTTTGGAGGTGGCTGAGTGAGACAGCTCTCATGGGCTGTCTCCTGCAGAAGCCCTGGCAGATAATAAAGCCATGTAGAAAATAGGATTAAGGGAATGAACAGGCAAGGCCGAGTTTGATCTTTCAATAACCCCAAAGCCTGAGTGACAGGCATTCTGCCAGGTGGAACAGCATCGCCGACAGGACCCTGGGTTGGGCGGTGTGCGGGGCTGCTGGATTCCTTGCTTTGAACCTGTCTCCGTTGAAACCCGAGCAGCACCCGGATTTTCTTTCATGTGTGTGCTGGGACTTGGATAGAGGGGAGTCATGCAGGGGCAGCTGTGCCCTGTGCAAGGGTCTCTAGGGACACTGGAGGACTGGGGGCCCTGGACA